GACGACACTTAAATAAATGAAAGTAAAAAATAAATTAACATTTTTACAATATTTTACAAGTTGTCGTACTTAGCGTTGTTAGTTTAAAAACTTATTCCGGTAGCATTTTCAATGCTGTTACCGACAATCTTTCCAACACTGGTCATCTTCTCCATCTCTATAATATGTACATAGTATCTAGACAACGGTTGTTGATGGCAATGACATGTTACATATTTCCAAAAAGCTTGGTAATTTCACAAATTTGTATGTAAAATTGAATTTTGTTTGTAATAAAACGTAAACAGGTAAGAAGTCTTCCCTTCCTACATTATATTTATGGTTATTACATTTCCGCCTCAATTATGTTTCCGTCAATCAGTTTGTTTATGTACGGACAATAAAATAAAAAATACCTTATTTACCTTGTTGAAAACCTAAAGACGAAGCCTAATATGCAAAAACAAGGCACAAAATTAAAGATTAGGTCACGATTTATTATGAATACAAAATAAGTAATAAACTTTTTGTATTCTCTACAAGGACCGCTGTATGACTAACTTTAACCCGCGGCTTTGCCCTCGTATTCCTAGTTAAGTAGTTTTATCCCATGGGAGCATTTTTATCGAGATAAAAAGTATCCTATTACCTAAGTCAGGCCCTGCATGTATACCATATTATCAAAATCCGTTCAGTAGTTTCAGCATGATTGACGGACAAACATCGAAACAAATAAACTTTCACATGTATAATATTTTTTTTTATATAGAAAACAATATTCAAACAAATTGCCTTATTGATTGAAGATGTTCAGTTTAACCCTTTGAGTACCGTCATTATAGACGCAATTAAAGAACAATAGATTGCAGTCACCGGTGTCTTCGCGGTGTTTGACAGTTTAAATTCCTGAATAGAACCAAATCTTATCCGATGAATATTACAATTTCTGGACTAGTTCAAGGTGATGCAGTTACTGGTAACCGTACAAACACACCGTATTTTGTATTATGAACAATAATTACATTCTCTGATCACTGAAGACTTTGTTCATAAAGCACAAAACACATTTATATACAAAAGTTTATCTATTATGAAATGAATAAATCTGAGACCTTGTTTTTGTGTGTAAAACTTCATGGTAACTTAGCACTAGGTTATATAACTTCGAAGGACTATCGATTAAAATAAACTGCTATATAAATAAACAAATTACAATTAATTCGTATATTGAGCTAACTATTTTTAATTGAACGTTTCGAATTATATGCCCTGCGAGAAAATAAAATAGGTAATTTGATTTTTTGTTAATCCATTTTTATTTTTCTCTGACTATAAATAATTTTAGCAAGTCAACAATCTCAATTAAATGATTTCATGATAATCATAAAGTTATCATAAAATTAGGATATCATATTACAGAACACTAAAATAATTTTATTTGGCTGAGGAAACTACCCTGTCCTCTTCTCACGCCGCGGAGAACTTAACGGGTCACCAGGGCTCCGGCTCGAAGTGCAGGAGTAGGAACGAGGTGGCCTTCAGTCAGTAAGAGTCTGTCACTCTTTCCCCCCTTAAAAAATCCTCTTCTCACGAAAATAGATGGCGTCACTGTGTACGGTATATTCTTTGAGGGTGAAATCGCGTGATAGAGTTAGTTATCAAGTTCATTTTACGGATGGGACTGGGTGTGTATAAGACTTTTTTAATAATACATACATCGTACTAATTTGTAAATACCTAATGATGCGGTTTGTTTTTTTTTATTATTTTTTTAAACGGAACCTTCACCAAAGTGTAGTTTCGCGCACGTCTAGCGTATTCTTTTTTATTTTCAATGTCATTTCTATATAATGAATAGGTTACTTATTTATTTAAAAAATTAGGAAGTCGTTTTTTTTCTAAACTTAACTATTATATTCGAATCATATTTTAAAGGATTCTAGATTCTTTACCAAGGATTATTTACTTAACATGATTTATTTAACCCTGCGTCTGCACCGCTGCACCGCACAATAATATTATTTATAATGTATCATCTATCACTATAGTACCTACACCTACATATATTACAACAGGCAAGCCCAACTTAGAAGAACCTAATTCCTCAAAATTAGCTTGCTCATCCTGTAAATCAAACTTAGGTCTTTGAATTCCGTAGTCACGTTACGATCACACTGCCAACGAAGCTCTAATATAATTAAAAAAGAAAAAACCAGTATCAAAATATTTATAACGGATACATACATAAATAGATTTATTTTTGAAATAAATTAAAAATTCCACCGTTACTCATGAATCAGGCAAGTTAATAGATTCAAAGATTTTGGCTAAACAATGTAGGTATTTCATTAATTAATGTTTACGATCGTTCATTGATATTTATTGTTTGTAAAAAGCTGTAAATGTTAATTTAAAGTCCAGGCTACTTTCCATTTTGAAAGCTTATTAGGCTACATGTAGCTAAATATAAAACTAGACTCAGTGAATCAGCGTTCATAGATAATACGATAAAATGTATTAATATTAGGGAAAAGATTCTTGAACTTTTGTTTTAAGAGGTACAGGGGACAAAATCGTCCGCGGTCCTGGTTTTATTTTTGAGTCAGGATGTTACAGCACTTCTTGAGGAGGGAATATCATCCAATGACTTCTCTTGCCCAGTTGAGGCGAAAGAGAGTGTCAGACTCTTACTAATTAAAAACCACCCCGTTCCTACTCCTGACTTAAAACAATGTTACATTAGATATAATAATTTTGGAAAAGAATAACCTGCTAGTAGACCTATTCTTGATAACGATGAAAAATCATCGAGTGACTTATTCTTAGTCCCGTTGCAGTGGTTTCGGAAAGTTGTAGTGAGCTTGTCCGATAAATAACATTACTTCTCCCACCCTGGAAGTAGCGGTTGATAGTGTTAAACGTTTATCAACTAAAAACCACCCTGTTCCAACTTCTGCTCCTAGCTAATGCATCAGCAACGTTCCTACGACCGCGGCAGGAACTGAACCTACACTCCTGATTCATGATGTGTACCAAGCCAACACCGTCAGTGTGTGCTAGTGTTCAGAGGCAGAATCCTTATGCGACCAAGATCGGTCAGGACCGATAGAAACTATCGCTATTAGTATCAGGTAGATACTATAAGAAAAACCCAGCTAACTAGTCTACCTCAAATTAGTGGAAGAAGAACACAAATAAAAAGTATTTAATTTTAACAGAAAAATGTTTTAATAAATTGTGGAGAGCTATGCTTAGGCACGAATGGGCCGAGTCGACTGAAGTGATACCACGGCCTCACAGAAAACAGACGTGAAACAACGCTTGCGTTGTTTCCTCGTATGAGTTTGAGGTTAACGGAGGCTCAATCCCCCCCCTCTCCAAACACAATCTTCAAATTTCTATTCCCCAAAAGGCTGTTAACTAATATGTAACGCCTCTGGTGTTCCGGGTGTACATAGGCGACGCTCATTGCTTGCCATCAGGTGATAGGTCTGCTCGTTTACCGGCTTATATCCCACAAAAACAGTATTTAATTTTAAGATAAATATTTTAGTTAATAATTATATCCAATCAACTACTAAAACGTCCTGAAAATAAGGTTACATTCTGAATAATCACGCATATATTAGTGTGTGGAGCAACTCATTACGATAATATATACTATCAATCTTAAAGTTATATAAATTAGAGACTAATTTTCTTAAAAACAAATATCAAAGATCATTGTTTTATTCTTACTATAAATGCGAAAGTACGTTTGTTTGTTTTTGTTTGCATTCTTATTATTTTCACGATGGCATTAATAATGCAGGTTTTGTAAGTGAAAGCTATATCTCTGACTGAACCCATAAAAAATTAAAAATAACCTTATCTTAAGAATTGAGCTATCAATTACATATATCTTATACTTAGAAATAAACTGATACCTAGTTCTATTAGGTAAGGTATTGAACTAAATGTCAGTATAAACTCTCAGAAAATATCAACGGGTTTATTCCCAATAAAAACTTTTTTGTTTGTTTTTTTTTATTTTAAACCAATTCTTTTAAACCCGAAAGGATGCAACCACGGTTTCTTTAGGTTTTCTAGATTTATTAATGATTTATGAATGTATGTGCAATAAGGTATAGCTAACAGCTATTAAAAACTAAAATAGGTACTTTATAATTTATACGAATATACTATCATATTATGGGATCATAAATAACATGTAGGTACCTAATGTTAACTTGTGCAAGAATAATAAATAAAAACATATTTTTATTGTTAATACAATAATGTGAGCATTATTACCTACCTACATTAATCCATTACCATCATAGGACAATTCCTAGTGCTCTATAAATAATACTTCGGTGGAAAAAAATACTAAATACAATAACTAACTAACCTAATTATTGTATCTTAATATTTAGCGCATCCACTTATAGCTGCTTTATTAATATAACGATTTTAATTTAGAGCCAAAATTAATGTACTTCGGACCCCAAAAACAGTGTCTAATCTCTGTATTGAACCCAGGAGCATTTGACAGGCCCCTATGACCACAATTCAAATCAACTTTATGTACATTTTGGAAAAAACCAGTTCTGCGATGAACAATATTATAGCAATGTTATTTTTAAATTTTAAATCCGTTCAATAACTGGCCACATTCTTCAATATTTGTAAACAAAAGTCGCAAGAATAAGAAACTATTTCATTCACGAACTCATGACTAATTTTACTCGACATTTTTATTTCAGAATAATGGTTCAATCGAAATGCACGCATTTTTCACTATTGCATACTTTCGGTCAAATTCGTGAATAGATATATTAATACTCTATAGTTATTTTGAACATTTGAAAATGATGTCTAATTATTAACTAAAAGAATCGATATTTGAAAAACAACAGAGGTAGATAATATTTTAAAAAGCGAAGCTCCCGACGTTGGAGATGGTCATGCGCAGCTTGCTTGCATCGGCTATGTCAACGCGCCTCCCGAACGCGCTATATAAACACGGCCATTATCAAACTACCACCAATACATTGCCGACCGTCACAGCGACCGCACATTTTAAAATAAATAACTTGGAGCTTTTTAAAAAGTTGTGTCAGTGATTATATCGTCCCTTCAACGTAAATCTTTACAGGACCTAATTTCATGTGAGTATTTAAAACTTAATGTTAAGATATTTCGTGAAACAAAATTCTAAAATTAAAAAGTGTTAAATCCTTTCTTAGTAAGTCTTCTTGAAGTTTATTTCGACTTGAAACATATTTATTTTTAAACTAGCTTCTGCCAGCGGCTTCGCCCGCGATTCCAGGGGGAAAATGCCAATGTATTACTTCACACCATATTCTACCTCTGTTCCGAATTTCATTCCGGTCCCTTCAGTCGTTTTAATATGACTGAGTAACAAACATACATATTTTCACATTTATAATATCGAGTCAAGCTAATTTCAGCCATCGGCCCTACAGTTACAGCGTAAAGTCAATAGATAAGTATTGTAAACGTAAGAGTAAACAAATATAAGCAGAAAGCTCCGAACTGCTAAACTATCGGGAGTTACACGTGTTATTGTAAGTCAACCATAAACGATAGACATGTGCTGTTGCGGGATATTATTTAGATAATTCTATGTAGAACATTTCCGTCATACATGATTTCTATGTAGCTTTAACTATTAAGCCTGCTCACGCGACGGAAGCTTAAAAATGGAGTAACTTCTCCCGTTTTCCCAATATTTCCCTTCACTGCTCTACTCCTATTGATCGTAGCGTAATGAAAAGTATACTATAACCTGCCCAAGAGTATGAAGAATAATTGTGCTAAATTTTATTAAAATCTGTCTAGTAGTTTTTGTTTCCATAACGAACATACAGACAGACAGACAGACAGACAAAAATTTTACTGATTGCATTTTTGGCATCAGAGGCGATCCCTAACCACCCCTTGATAGTTATTTTTTAAATATATTTTATGTACAGAATTGACCTCTCTACAGATTTATTATAAGTATAGATAAATAAAGTACAAAAGACAATTTAACAGTGCAGTTAAGCTAAACAAACCTTGCACCGCACTCTCTAATTCAAACGCATAAAATTATACCGAGCTAGTTCAAATAGTACTTACTGGTAGTAACAATAACCTGTTTACACAATAAATAGATCAACTAAGCGGTTACGAGCAGACGCTAGGATGTATAAAATACCTCGTGAATACAGGACAGGACAGTTACTCATGCCAAGCGTTCTCTTTCCTTCCATATTTATTTCTCGATCATCTTTCGTCTCAAAATATCACACGTTACTTGCATGTAAAACCTAATATTTATATTAAGCGTTACAGTCAGTGTTTACACTTGAATGCTTCCATTTAAAGTTATTAAATGTGAGTACATTGGGCCTGTTTGTAATGTCTTGCGATACCTCGAGCAATCAGTTCAAAGTGATCACTTACATTCCACGTATACTGGTAGTTTAGCTTAGCCCTGCACCTAGCCGAGACAATAAATAAAGCGAGAACGCAATTCTCGCTAGGATGACCAGGATTGTTCCCAGTACCGGGATAGGATAGACAAGACGAGTAGCGTACCCTCACCGGAGATGGCCGTTTTGCGGTTACGCCTTAACGGTTACTGAATTTGTTATTTGTAAAATGTGGTTAAAACAAAGCTGAGAGTAACGTTTTTATTTTATAGTTCCGTATCGTCTGTAGCAAAATTACTTAAAAATTATGCATTTTATTCGTAAAGTTATGTGTAGTCGCAGTCGTCGTTGTCTGTTGAGTGTATTGTGTTGTTGGAAATTCTTTAATTAAGTTAGTGACAGAAACTCTGTGAATGTTCGAACATGAAGCGTCACTTCAGCCGCGACTAACGCGGACAGAATCGATTTCAGGCCTGTGTGCCTACACCAGGTTACACCTAAACATTCACACTTTTCGTATTTAGACGCCGACAAGAAACATTGTGTTAATTAGTCATTACTTCTATGTTTACTTTCACAAAATCTATGTAGAAAACTACTGAATTTTATTTATAGTGAATATCCTTTAGAACTCCTGTCCAAAAATCATATTAATATAAACTTGAATAATTATTGTTTTTCGTAATAAAACTACAACAATGACTCTAAGACGACTGCAAAGTGAAAAACGTTTCAAAGAATTTCCATCAAAGCTATGCATTAAAATTTACAAAAAGAACAAAGCAAAACATAAAGTTGATGAATAAGGAGTTACAACAACAAAATTAGTAATTTGCCACAGATGGTCGTGAGTAGCTAATGACCCCGCTAGCTGACTGGAGCGAAACAAAACTGCGATAAAAACATCTCACCAATAAAACCTACCGCTTGCTGAGATCGCGGCCGAAGAAAAAAATCAAATTGTTTTCATGACTCACCCCGGCCGAGTGCAAACTAACTATAGATCAGTAAAAAATAATTAAAATGACACATTGCTATGTATTGACTCTTAAAGTACCAAATAAAAAACATTGGACTTAAACTGCGTACACAATACAAGTAGCGTGTGTCTATGGCATTGTATTTAAAATTTCTGCTTTACACGTTTTTTATGCCTCCGCCTGCATGGCACGTTGCCCAATTTTCCGCCCAACTAACTCTTCATGCATTAGCTTAAACACTGATGTTAGGTGTTAGGCTTGTTAAATAGACAATCAAAATGGCCTGCGCCTTCATTCATAGGGAACAATTTAAAAATGATAACTAACAATAGGCGATAAAGCCGTAGACACACGACAATATGAATAGTTAGCAAAACTATCACATCCACACTCCATAAATCTGGCGTGGCGTCAGTTTACATACGCTCCTATCGACCCAGTGACGCAAGCACTAATACGACCCGCGCAGTACATTTCCGTGGAAGACATCGCCGCCGACAGTTCAGCTAACGCACAATACACGTTAATGGAAATATCCGTAGAAGCTCTTTGTTACCCTACTTAGTCAGAAACAGCATCGTTCTATGCAAAAAGCAAAGTGACCAGTAAAGTACCAGCCAAGGTAACCAGTCACGTCAATTATACCAACATAATGATAAACATTGCCACGGATCATGGGTATTTAGCCACCACAATGGTCTGAAGCAGCATGCGTAATTATTTTGGACTGACAAGGCCAATTTTGAGACTTATGCATAAACATAAAAAAGGTAATATTTCCATGAATAAAGAACTGTGATCTTCACGGTTGCGAAGACAGTGGAGGAAGACGATGTCTGAACAATAACTTGATAAGTAAAATGAGCAAAAAGTTTGGTTCAATTTGCTTCGGTGTTTGTCACTGTGTCAGTGGTGTTTCCACTGCATTAATTTGATTGAAATAAATGTAACCATTTACATAATGTAACATTAAATAATTAATGTGCATTACATAATGTGTATGTCCAACAAACCGAAAAAAGATCAAAAATGTCAGGTTACATGGACAGAGTTCACGGCGGTGACCGGTTAAGTGGTCGGAGTTGAAATGAGGAGATTTGTTGACATTTCACACTTGTCCGCACCGAACTATGCCGTTACTCAAACTCAGTTCTTCCGCTGGCATTGACCTATGCTGCTTCTACCGCAGAGATCACCGACTGTTTACCGTTCATCTAGCGATAACCTTTTTCTCCTACCATAATAACATCCTAGACTTTCTATTCATAGATGAAACACTCATAATATTATCTAAGTATTTTGAATTGACAACTCAAATTGTTGTTGGTCTATTCGAAGAACCTTTTCTTCTAGTTGTTAACAATTATTATCAATTTAACGAGGTATTTCATATTGCATTTGAATGTAAAGAAACCTACTACTTTTATTTGCGCTCTGCAATTCTGTAACTGAAAATTCAAACAGTGGCCTCAGTTTAGATGCACAATTGTTTTTCTAATCTGTTATTACCAAATCGATGTTGCAACATCTCATCAGATACACTTAAAACGTAAAAAATATAACGGCTGGCTATAAAACGGTAATAAAAACCGAATATCTATTTATTAGTAAAGTCTCAAGGCGTATCAATTAAAACTTTGCGCTTGACTTTAACTATTAGACATAAATGCAAATCGTTTAACCTTTAGCAATAAATATGTAGGCAGGTAACTTTAAAAATCCAAGTTAAACAAATGGAAAAACTTGAAGTACCTAAGAAATCGAATCGAATATGTAAAAACCAGCAACAAAATAAATAAAACTTGCATGGATCTGAACTTTTTTTCTTAAACAACTTCAGCCAATGCGAAAGACTTACATATGGGCTCGTCCCCTTTAACTCAATTATTTTAAAAAATCTTCTGTCATTTCCTACGCTTGCGACATCCAGGCTTTTTAGACGTTCGTTACATTTTAAACATGTTACCTTTGCACGACGACGTTGTTAAGACACTAGCACATAAACGCTTCCCAAACTGAGCAGTTTTTTTAAAATAAATTTTGCCCTTTACAATTTTGTAACAAAGTCGAAAATCAATTGAAAAGTCTGTCCCTATATATTAAAATTCCAAATAAAATGATTCGTTTCAGAAATAACTCGCACATAACTGCAGTCTGCTGTGTTAAAAATTCCACTACACTTAATCGCGATTCAAATGGTCATGATTAGTAGCTATAAACAGAAAATGAGATCTTGATTACGATATAACATTGCTAAAGAAATTGAATTAAGTGAATTGAATATATTAGTACTTTTGGTGAACAAATTCTTAAGTCTTTAGTGCATTTCCTCGAATCAATTTCTTAGAAATACCTTGAGCACACAAACGAGCACCCGTACATCACACCGTTCTTGCTATTTCTGCCAGGGACAGAAGTACATTTTTGGTTGTCGTAATTGCGAGCGCTACCACGCTATGAAACGCGAAGATTTGTCTCACATGTATGCACACTGAATCCCCGAAGCCATCAGTCAAAATTGCGATTGTTACGACGATAAATCACAATAAAATACTACTAATAACTGACGTAGAGTCCGTACATAATAGGTACATAACGTTATGCACTTTTTAGAGGCAAATTGTATAAAAACAACAAGTTTTCAACGATCCAAATATATTGCACCACGCTTCGCGGCTCCGAAGCTGAACATTCATCATAAACCATTGTCATTGTCGTATTTGATTTATGCGAGTGAGATGTTATTGTATACCGGGTAGGATTGATCTGTGCTCGCTATACGTCGACAATGAACCGTGGGCCGATGGCCGATTGCACAAGCAGAACACACGGGTTTCATAACGCACGGCATCACGAACAACCAAACAATAAGTTATCCTAGCAACCACGATTAAAAACCTAACAACTATACAGTAATAGAAAGTGGAACATCAAATGTTCTATGTACTAGATACTGTCAGGTCATTTTTTATAGAAAGCGCTAAACGTGAACGGAAAAAATATCGTCTAGGTCGTTTTGTTCTGGTTTTTGGAACGAGATATTAATGTTGCTATTTTGTTTAGTGTAAACCTGAAACTGATTGGCCTGATCAGTTGCATGTTGTATGAGACCTACCAACTTTAATTGTGTCCGGTGCAAACCAAAGGACTAAAGACGTCGTAAAATGGATTATGCTATACAGATCTGTCTTCTTATTTATATATTTAAGGTCGTTGTAATATAAAAATATTCTGAAACCTTTATCCATATCTTTATATCATTGCCACACAACACACGGTTAATGTAAATTAATTTTAATACATTACTCAATGATCACAGTTAGTTTATACGAAGAATGTAAACCTGTTTGGGGAATTTAGTAAGCGTGGACATCTCTGTATATTATACGGTAGGCCACCTGGACAGTTGTCTGCAAAGAATGAGACGCCAACATTAACCTTTACTAAAACGTGAGCATTACTCAACCCGCGCAATGGAATATTTCGAAGGACCTAAATAGCAGTACGGTCAAATGATGATACTTTATATTAACATAATACGATATGATGTCTGTATTCCTCTTTAGGCGCGTAATGCTCATGCTTCCCGATACAGGGCTTCTTATTGCCATTCAAGACGATTCATAATCTCATGCTAACTACCTGAAATAATACAACAACACCAACGACCATAAACTCAATGAAACAAACACATGTATCAAAATCAATGGATATTTACACTTCAATGTTTAATCTTCATTTCATCAGTTACAAACAGATTAAATAAAACAATGAGCTAATTGTATTATCTGTGGAAATTATGTAGTCATTTATTATACTGTATGAGATAATACAAATTACCTCAGAATACGTGTTCTACATGTCGATACAAGATGTTGCGTTGATTTTATTGTGACATTTTGATTGGTCGGATCTCACATCGGTTGCGACGCGGTAAACGATGTAATTGGATCAATAAATGTCACGATTCCCGCGCATTATTCTGCAATGTTTTATGAAAAATACGCTTATTTCAAATGCGTGTAAAATACACTTTGTATAGACATTTAGACACAGCTAATGTTTTTTCCTAAAATAGACTAACACCACATAGCGCTTTTCTAGAATTTTAAATATACATAACAACAACTGATTGGTATTCGATGTTAATTTACATACTGGTACATAAAGTTTCCCAAAGCTTTCAAAGTCATATAAGTAGATAAAATCTTATATACTTACAAATGACTAAGCATTTAAAAAAAACTCGGATGCGGTGCTTTAGAATAACCAAAATTTCCGCATTTATAGTAGGTACCTACTTATACATATTAATTCGGAAACGTCGAGGCAGAATAGTGATGTTAGCGTCAGAAGAATTAACTTAAGTAACGTACGATTATTATCATGAGAAAAATGTATGTATGATTCATTTGATAGATACAGAAAACAGGGTTATTATGGTGCGCCTAAGTAATTACGATGTACATTACACAGTCCTTGTAACATTTTGATGAAACATCACACACATCGTAGAAAATACAACTGATGCAACATATTATAATGTTGATTACTGTGCTTTGCAATACACACTACACACGACGCCTACCTACGCATGAAAAAATATTTTAATTCTGGATAATTTACTTGGCTACAACTTAGGTACAAACAATGTTTTGAAATGAACATAGTCACGATTGTTGATTTAGTAATTTTAAGAAATGTTTTACAGACGAATTAATCGCTGCTTGAGCGATTTCTATCTGCATAATTTAAAAATAACATTTTTTACAATAAAGTACGCTCAAATATTTCTGCAAAACAATAAATTTTAATATAGGTACCTATTTTATCTGTTACGGTCGAATAAGGAGATCGATCGGCGTTAAAATATGTGCATTTCGTAAATGAATTCGGTCAACCGAAACGTTGTCATTATGTTGTAACTGTGACAGTTCTGCCACAATATTATAAATAGAGTACACAAGGCCTAGGAAATTAGGTTGGACAGAGAAAAGGTTATAGTTCTCACGCCGACTAGACTGATACAATGATAAACGTGCATTCTGAACAGCGGGCTAAAGTATATTTTATGACCGCCAAGGTATTCATTAAAGACCATATTAGAACGCAACGGTATAAAATAAATTGTTACATTCACAAAGGTATAGCACAATAAACTGCAGTCATCATGCATCAATTTGAACTGAAAATAAGAAATAAACATGTACTCTGGGGGAATTGTGGGAAGCAACACGACTCTATACGAGTGCCTACAGGCAAGCAAATTTTTTCATTGCGCCAATGAACGAGCATGCGCTGGGCTTCAATTGGAAGATTGGCGCGTCGTGTGGGAGGGCGACAATCCTTGCCCTCTGCCGGCGAGGATATCCTTCCAGAAAATAACTCGGCGAACAAGCGCATACATACAACAAGTTAACGCAAACTGCAATAATATAATTATAATACAGTTTATATCGTTTTCGTTATCCATTATTTTTTTGCTAGATAAGCGCTGCGTAATTCACAATTTTCATGTAAAATAATAGTAACTTATTCCCTGTGTCTACATGTCCACACGAATTTGTAACAGAACTTATTTGGTCAGTTTAGTAATTTTCCTATTGCAATTACTTATTTTTTGTACGTTACATGATCGAAGGGAAAGAATGGCAATATTCGCATTCTAAACTTTTTAAGTTGATAATACGTTATACGTTCAAAGTGGTAGATAATGATCGGTGTCGCAATAATAATACTGAATTAAGAGTAATCAGATGGCAACAGCGCAGGGCTGCAGAGCAACGGCCGACCAAGGTTCATCGGTTTATTGATCGAACCAGTTTCGTGAAATTAATGCCCACAGCTTTATCATTTTTGTAATGTTTTTTCCTGTATGCAATTTGTTTTAACATTACATGCGTATTCTTATTTAATTAATTAAACACAGTCGTTATATGGTATCTTGTTTTAAATCAGAAATATTATATCCACTTTCAGATTTTATCCATTCAAAAATCGATTTAGAAAACTGGATCACCTGCGTTTTCGCATATTAATCGATACTCTCTCTCGATTTGAAAGCTCGAGTTTTAAAAGCCTATATAGGTAACTTATAACAAATACCTTGAAAATATCTTTGAAACGTTGAATATACGAGATGTCTCCAAAAGAAACAAAAAGCCAGAAACTGATCCTTTATAAAATGAAGTAAGAACAGGGCCGCGTAACAACCGGTAACCGAGAACTTATAGAACTGGTTCTCGTTACGTATTGAACTTGACTTGTGCAACTACACGTAAAGATACACCTGAAATGATCATCTTGACCCGGTCTCCTACAGATAAAAAGAAATCGAAACAACCGACTATACAATAAAGTAAAAACGAGAACCGTACGCGTAAAGACAGTGCAGGCTGGCATCAGACTCGCTGACGCATAATAATGAACTTTTGCATTTATTTTAAGTTAACGTAAAAACATCACGCGGCTAATAAATTCGCACTTGTCACACAACAAGATAGTCAGTCCAGATGGCGTCTCAGTTTTTTTTATCCATTCACATTCTAGACAATGCAGACAGTGACTGACGGGTACGCATAGACTGGCCGCAATTTAAATATTACAGCGAATTTCAAGCGAATGTTTTCGTAAAACTATAAATACAGGCCCGATACGAGGTCGATTAAAACGTGGGGAGACAAGTGCGTACGCGTGTGAATCATTCATACGATGCCACGTATTGCATTCTAGTTAGCAATTCAATTCAATGAGCCAATTAAAATTCAGATAATGCGTTGCCGACGTCTGGCCGGATCATCCATATTTCTAACGCGCATTTCGCATCCTGCCTAGCTCTGAGCACGCACTAGGAAGTGTCCATCATGTGCAAACTGAGGTATATAATTGTTAAAAAAAATAAACAATCTTTTTCCTTTCTTCTAAGTAATTTAGAAAATAATTTATATTTTGGAATACACAAGTACCTATTGTAAAAGCATTTCAAGTAATCGATTCCAATTTGTATGGAAACTAATACTCGGTTATTTTAAGATAATGATAATTCCCATCGCAATTTGCCATCTATTTACAGTGCGGCGCCAGACCGCATTCCAACAGGAGCTGGGATATCGCCTTAATGCCCTACCTTTAGCTAGTACAGGCTAAATATAGAAACCCGTCAGGGTACATGACCTTCCTAGCTAATGGAAAATAGACGAGCCTCCCTTGCAGTTTCGAAAAATATAAATACTTCTTTATAAGTGATGATAATAGTAATTAAATACATCTGCATTACAAAATGCTACTTATGATTACAATCACATTTATTTTAACAAAAGAAACAAAGTGAAACCTCCTCTGTCGGTGAATACGCAGCGATCGCTTCCATGTGAAAGTCCCCTTGAAAACTCTCTATCGCATCATAGCCTATTTTGTAAATAGTTTACATCCTACTTATGCACATCGACATTAATTCGAGACGATTCGAAGATAGGTACTTGTTCCCCAGCCAATGAAGCCCTTAGATGATTCAGCCTTAATAGGAAAATTGCTGCGAAACGTCGAAGCGGCCGGCTCGTAACATTGGCCTTACCGCGCTCACGACTTGCAGACGTGCATTTGAATCTATAATAGTCGCAGTCATTATTTTGTCAAACCACTAATTGTACCTTTTCGTTGTTTCAGGATGAAGGTCATACTATTATGCCTGGCCTTCGCAGCTGTGACTCTGGCAATGCCAGTAGCCGAAGAGAAACCTGATGTGGTTGCACAAGCTCCATCAGTTGCGGCAAAACCTGAAGAGATCAACGACCAACCCGCTCCAGCAGAAGACAAGAAAGTCGAGGAAGCTCCCCAATCAAAGGAAGCTGAAAAAGAACCTGAAGCCAAGAATGCACCTATAGAAGAAAAAAAACCCGAAGTCAAAGACGAACCTGAAAAGGCCCCAGAACCTCAAGCGAAAGAAGTTGTACCTGAAGTAAAATCAGCAGAACCTGAACCTGAAAAGAAACCTGAATCCAGTGATTCTGCAGAATCAAAATCTGAAGAGAAAGTTGTAGAGCCGGAATCTAAGCCAGTTGAAGAGCCTAAGCCGGCTGAGGAGCCTAAACCAGTTGAGGAGCCCAAAGCTGCTGAAGTGCCAGCTATAGTAAATGAAGTACCCAAGGATGCATCTGCTAAGGCAGCTGCGTTGCCCGAGGAAAATATTGACGTTGTTACTGCTGTGAAAAATGATGCCGGTATCGCTGATGACGTCATGATGCCCGATGTTTTGATCCCAACACCAGTGAAGAAAATTGACTTGCCTGAGGTACCAGCCGCTGTCGTTGAACCTGAACCAAAAAAATCTGAACCATCTGCTCCCGTGGAAGAACCTGCTAAGGCTGAGGTAAGCAAACCAGAAGAACCTAAAGAAGAAGTTAAGGCTGCAGAGACCGCCTCCGATGCTGTGCCTGCTGTCTCAAAATCGGAAGAGAGTTCTGAGGATAGCCTACGTGTAGTCCGTAACACAGTCGATGGTAAACTGGTTGTTGCTGCTGAGGACAAACCTGAGCCTGCTGCTGAAAACAAACCTGAGGCAGTTGCGGAAAGCAAACCTGAGCCAGTAGCTGAAAGCAAAGCTGCACCTGTTGAAGAGAAGAAACCTGAAGTTGTTGAGGCGAGCAAACCTGAATCTGTTGTAGAAAGCAAACCTGAACCCGCTGTAGAATCCAAATCCGCGCCTGTCTCAGAGAACAAACCCGTTGAAGAAGCTAAACCAGAGGCTCAGCCTGCCGAAGCTGCCAAAGAAGCTGAGGTTCCCAAAGAAGTAAAGAAAGACGAGGCCGAACAAAAAGAATCAAAATCAGGCGACGTTGCTGCACCTGAGCCTGCAGCTAAAGAAGAGCCTGCCCCAGCGCCTGCTGTTGAAGAGAAAAAGTCTGACAACAAAGAGATTATACCTGAGAAGAGCGAACCAGCTCCTGCTAAACAGGAGCAGCCTTTAAACGACAAACCGTCAAGCTCAAGTGAGGAAAGCGCGAGCGAAGAATCAAAAGAAACCTCATCTGAAGAGAAAACTGGAGCTCCTGAATCTTAGATAAGTAGTGGTGGCGTGCGGCGGCGGACGTGTGTCGACACGCGAGTCTCGACACGCGCCCCCCGCCCGGCGGCCCGCCCCCGCCCGCAGCGTGCAAGTGACGAGTGAGTGAGTGACTGGTGACCGACGCAGACGCGCCGACTGCGTGGATAACTCCGACTATTCATTAGATCTAGAGACTATTTAAATAGCCGATCCGAAAATTATTACCTACGTTGTAGTTATAATTTGTCAAAGTAAATTATCGAATTTCCGGTACTATAAGTAATAAAATATGTTTTTATAATGTGAGTGTTTTTATTTCCCAGGGTGTTAATTGTGACAATGTTGAAAAGTTCCTCAATCAAGCAATCAATCAAATATTCCTACTTAAAGCCAGTAAAAACTTAAGATCAAGTTCAATGTTATAGTGGCCTAAAACATGACATCGGTCATTGGACTTATGGAGCATTATTAGCTTCTAACAACACTAGGTAATACATATCAATTAATCCCTATGATCATGAATATAAGCTATGTATTTAAAAAATCAAAGAACCAAACAATCCACATAACAACCTTCTAAGTAAAGTGTGGCTGAAAATATTATACTAATTGTCTCAGCTATTAGTAAGAATTAAAAAAATTGAAAAATCAGATGACGCTGATTCTCCTAGCTTGGAATCCAAGCCTGGCGTGACTTGTATCAAGTATTCGAATCATGTTTGCAGTACACTGGTAGTGATAGTATCAGTATCGATAAATTGAATATCAATTAGGAGTTAGTGTGCTAGCCTGCTAGGATTGATCGAACACGTGCAGTCATTCTATGTAATTTCCTGCCATAAAGGCATTGCTTGAGTGGTTACGAATCGAAGAAGAACGTAATAATAATAATTTTGAGTCGATAACAGTGGTTCATACACCGCTTTTTAAGTTTTTATCTCCTCTAATGATAGGTGGAGTTCCTATGAAATGTAATAACCGTTTCTGGTTTGCAATAGGTAAATCTTATGTGAGCTAGAATGTCGAAAATTTAGATAAGACTGCTTGACTTAATTAAGAATAACATAAACAGCCTATAAGTGGCCACTGCGGACCATAGGCCTCTTCTCGCACGGAGAAGGTTAGAGCATTACTCTCCACGCTTGCCCAATGTGGGTTGGTTAGTTTCGAACTTATAATTAGAAATTATAAACCAGGTTTCTTCACGATGTTTTCCTTCACAATGGTGTTTAAATAATATTAGAAAGTACAGTACACTTTTTCCGAGTTATAACTCGGAAAAAGTCACATTGGTACATTTCGTTAAAAGATTTCAAACTGCACCCCCATTACGACTTCATTCGACTCGACTTAAGATTAAGAATAAAAATTCAAGATCCCTTTTGCCTAATAGTCGATAGCAGCTAGGGACTTCAACGAGGCAATCAACAACTTGAGACGAACCGTTCATTGGCAGTCTAAGGCGAATGTTATTAACATAAAGTATCGACTGAATGGCTACATACCTCGTCAGTGAGCATGCGGCAGGTAAGGACTCCCAGCGACCACCAGTCCACAGCATGTCCATAGGGCTCCCGAGACAGGACCTCTGGGGCTGTCAACAATATTACGCAATTATGGGGATGACGACGATAAATGTTTATAATAATAAAGCTGCATATACTACTTTTTTAAATTACATAATAATCTTTAATGTTCTATTACCGTTCAGTTTTCTTATAAACTATACTAGGTATCTGTTTAGCATTGCTATTCTTAGTACATACGATGATAGCGAAAGAGGTATGCAAGAATCGTAGCAATTGGCCCTCCATAGGGTCTGTCTACCCCTATGGGAGACAGGATGTTATGTATGTATGGAAAGATAGAATTAAATTACAGGTATCGTGCAAAGTAGTCATTGAAGCTTAAACATGAACAATCTCATCTTTATTAACAACGAAATAGAGGTGATTGTGATTTAATACTCTTTGGACAGAGATAATTATTTCAACTTAGACTTTATGCCAGTTTCACAGGCTCCCTAGAAGTCCAGATAAAATTGACTGACCGATAATAAATTATATATCTAATGGAAAATGGCTGTATAATCAGCCGTAGGTTAGTGCCGAAACTACTGGGTGGCAAGTCAGCAAAATGCCACGGTCCCCCAACTGGAAGGGGTTCAGAGATTCTCATCTGAACGTCTGCTTTTTATTGGGACCGGGGCCCATCCGATGAGTATAGTTACGCCATTACCGCCGGTAAATCAGTTTCATAATCCCATTCACACTTCTTGTGCTCTACGCGGCAGTCATTCCTCCATTCATTCTCAAGTAAAAATAAAAGTGAATAATAATAATAAAACAAGATAATTACGTTTACATGGAAGGAACTCCTTGAAGACGTGTAGCACAGGAAGTCCAAGTCTCATTTCACTTTCCAAGATCACATAAGACGAACGAAATTTTATTTCCTTATGGAATATCAACCTATATTAGTTTCGTTGAACATCAACATTCTCGATTTTGTTTTCACAAAAAGATAATAATATTATTTTTTCATAATAACTATCGTGAGACATACTAAATTAACTAAAAATCGCGAGATGTGTGCGACCGCGATCGCACACGCTGCTCATGAGGAAGAACCCTAGAGAGTAGTAGAGTAGAGAGTAGAGCTTTTCTCAGTAGGTACATTCACGTGAGTAACCCGCGATTTTTAGTTAGGTTATATTATTATTGTAGCTGTGTAATTCAAATTATTCTGTACATCAACATGTAATGTAAGCATCAACTTATTTTGGTACAATTTCTTCGAATATAATATGTATTTTTTCAATTAACGGTATTGACCATAATTAGCGTGTGTTTAGGTAGGTTGCAAAGAAATATTTTACTGTGTGACCTTTATAATGCAAATAAATTATGTGTTTCTGATTGATAAACCTCATATTCTGTTCATACAGAATACAAAATGGCAGTGGTTCAAATGGTACCAACCAACCAAGAACTGTAATGTTAGGATCAAGGGGTATCTGTCAATGCCGTAAAGCTACGCAAAAAAGAAAACAAAAGGCAATACTTCATTATTTATTACTTATATATAAATTATATCACAAGACTAAGATTTTTACTTTTTGAACTTATACATCACAACATATATATTTCCTGTTTCATTTATGTATTATATAAACTCTAATATGTAACAGCCGTTATTACACGCGAGTCGTGAATTTAATAGTTTCCTAAGACATCTTTTTAAATAAGGCCATAGCGAAGGTGCAGTGACATAATATATTTACTTAACATGTGCTCGGCATACGGCATACACTATCACTACACGAGGCACACCTCCAAGGTATCTGAATTAAATATATTGTCAATATCACCAGAGTTCTATATTTTAGCATTTTGGAATCATTTCAATCATTAAGGTACTCACTGATATGAAAATTACAAATGGATTACATAATAAATATTATATCATTAAAATATTTGAGTAAAAGATATTGTTACGCATGCACTGTCGATATCTCTTCATATAATTATATTTCGTAACAGAATATATTCGTCATTGCACACGAACACGCTATCTTTTAACATAATTGTGAAAATATTTAAAAGAATTTGTATTTTAAGATCGCAAAGCCTATACAGCCTCATCTTTGGTGACGAAATAATTCTGATAAATATTTTGTAGGTACAAGTGTGATTAGATAGGCCTACAGACGTGATACACTAAAGCTAGAGTCACAAAATGAGGTAGGATAGTAAATCAGAATTGTATGGATGGACTCAGTTCACAGTCCTCTAGAAAACAAAACTAAAAGCAATTTGACTCTGGCATGAAAACATACATACGTGTAAATTGTAGTAGGTAGTAAAAGTTATCCTAAAATATGTTCTGTTGCAAGTCATGGATTCATATGTTTTCTTTGACGACACCCAGTCAGACAATTCGACAATAAATTATTAAGACTTTCAACAGGACATCGTCAAAGTAAATATATCGCAAATAAGTATAAGAATAAAAAGAAAAAAATGACATTACAATTTAATTTGATTATTCATCTCACCATTACTTAACACTACATGAGACGTTCCTCGCACCGCGCCTATCCTAACATTTTTACACAATACATGGAACAATCATTGATCAGCTAGATCTAAAACATTCTATATCGATAAAGCTCTCTCAACAAACCACTTGGAACTATTCGAATAAGTGAACTGACTATACTATCGATGCAAGTATTTACAATATTTATAATACACATTCATAGAGTTACTGACAATACATAACTACTTAAGTCGTAATATCTATCATTTAATAATATATCAATCTTCCTTACATTCAGACACATCATCGAAGATATATTTTTTACATTTTTCTTTTATATATTCCAGAATTATTCTCGGCGATATCACAAAGCGATCATTTAAATATAAGTGAATAGTCAAATAACGATACTATTGGAGTCCAGCGACTCCGAGTGTGACTAAACATAGAAGCGTTAGTACTCAAGATATAAACATTTCGTGCCACCTCCTCAACAAGAACTCAAGTGTTCATTATAATTCATAAAAAAATCTAAATATTACTTACACAATCAAATTTCTAGGTAACTATTATGTCTACGTCAAACTTTCGTGAATGTTTGAGAAATCACTCTATATTAATCTTAGTAATAAACAACAGACGAATCCAAAGCTTAAATAAACGACAAAATGAATGGACACATTAACCAGCCTTCCGAGCCATAGCTCTGATATTACAACTAAAGTTACAAACTAACATTACAACAGACAAAGTTCCATTAAATAAAATATTATTAGTTAAATACGACGCGACGCGCGACGTCAAGTAGAGGCTCGGCTCATCCTAGCAGATAGCAGAGGGAGTGTATCCTCCACGCTTCCGTTCCTCGCAACTTACTCTAACCACCTCGACCATCTCATCGTACATCATACATAGACAATAAGCTGGAACTTGTATTATACCTACACGAACGAGAAACACAAAGTTTAGTACAAGCTAACAGTCAGTAATAAAGCTGATACATAGTAAAGTTACACAAAACATTAATTGCAACGATAACTACGACACACGTTTGTGCAACAAACAAAGCGTAAGTACAATAAATGACACAGATAATAGATTCTGATGTTTGTGTATTGTCAAAACGTCAAATACAGTGTTAATAGATAAAACAATTCATTCCTCATTATGATTATTATATACACATGTCCATAGTAAAAATAAATCACACATAAAAATTTTCAATATTTAGTAAAATCATATGTACCGCGAGAGGCAACAGCGCGGAGTCGTGTGTTTCATTATAATTTGGTTCATTTAAAACATTATTAGATTGATGTGACATGCTTCATGCATAGCGGCGCGTCACAGCGCGCGACGGAGCTGGCAGGCAGACGGGCGGACTCAGCCGGCATCACAACGACAGCGTGTCGCGGATGAGCTTGCGCACCGTGTTGCCCACCGACGTGGGCGGCGCGCCCGACAGGTTGTAGTTTATCTTGAACAAGTACGGCTGGATGTCCGAGTAAGACGTGTCGAAGATGAGATCTGCGTCCGAGCGGCTCGGCATCTTGGGCACATACTCGTGTCGGTTGATGATCTCTGTGATGAAAACGATCTTGTCCTGCAACATCTCCACGACATTTTCGTGCTTGCTGTTGTGCGCGTCGTGGTCGTTGCGCGCGAGCTCGCAGTAGACGGTCCACACCTCCCAGGGCACGCACTCGGGCTGGAAGGGCCAGCGCGCGCGGCGCTTCTGGAAGAACTCGAGGCTGATGGAGCCGCGCGGTGGGGACGAGCTCGAGTCCAGTCCGCGCAGTAGCTCGGAGAAATCTGAGATCTCGCGCTTTACACTGCGACCCAGAGCATCGGATTCGCAGCAGACGTACGTGAAGTCTATGAAGTCACAATCCACATCGACATAGCTGACGGTGCGGATGGAGTAGCTTTCCTCATTGTTGTAGGTGAACTTGCCACTAGAGCGGTGGAAGAGGACGGTATGGAAGATGCAGGCGACGACCTCGTCCACCTGCCTGCCCTCCATGGACAGCTCGAAGGCGATGGTGCGCGCGTTCATGTTGCCGGCGTCAGTGGGCGGCCGCGCGAGCGCCCAGTGCGTGCATGCTCGGAGTCAGGGCGAGGGTTACTGCTGCGCTGTCTGCCTCATATACGCTACGGATAACGAGCGAGCGATGCACTCAGCCATGTTTTAAATTATCAAACGAGTCAACTCCCACACTGAAATGGAGAATGACCGTTTTAGTTTTTCGCGTCATTTAAAAGTATCTTACATAATTCAAGTCCGGTTCCTATCTGTTCAATATATCTAACCTAAGCACTAAGACCGTAAGTACTACAGTAAAGAAGCAAGTACCCTATTAATATCCTGACATAGAGCATAGAAAAGAACTTACCCATATACTTGAGTGTGCCGCAGAGTGTGGTGGTGCGCGATCCGATGGAGAGCCACTTGGAGAGCCCGAAGTCGATCAATCGTATGTGACAGTCTGAATCGAGAAGAATGTTCTCCGGCTTCAAGTCTCGGTATATGACTCCAGCGTTATGAAGGAAATCTGGAGACATTAAATACAAGCGTTCATTTTAACGAACAATCCCAATTCCAACGATATCAACTGTTGCATCTATTTGAATGCATGGAGATAACAAAAATAATAATCTTATCAAGGCTCTCTAACTTGTCAGAACTGGTTAAAGGTCATTTTCATGACTCGCATCATAATACAAAATCAGTTTTATCTTAGTTCAAAAACCACGGAACGAATTATAAAACGATTTTCACAAATGAAAATTATTTGGGAAGGAACTCACCAATAGCAATAGCGATTTCAGCGACAAATATTTTGACGAGTTCTTCAGGTAGCTTGCCGTACTTGTCCAGCAGAGCTAACAACTCGCCTCCGGGAATGTATTCTGAAACTACGCACAAAATTATGAATAAATTAATAATTGTTATCGAATACCATCAGTAGGGCTTTGTGTATCGATTGCTTAGTTACAATTTAGTTCATCGAACTAAAAAGTTTGGATCTAAGCTACTATTGTAGATTAATTGTCTCGAATTAACCTTCGAAGAGCTTAACTGCACGGTTGGTGCGGTGGCTGGGCAACCGGCTGCCGTGCAACGTGTCGCGGGTTCGATTCCCGCACGGAACAACACTTTGTGTGATTCACGAATTGTTGTTTCGGGTCTGGGTGTCATGTGTATGTGAAATTGTATGTTTGTAAACGCACCCACGACACAGGAGAAAATCCTAGTGTGGGGCAATGTTTTTTTAAAAAAACTTTTTAAAAACTTTTATTCCTTTAATTTGAATAAATCATGAGCACTTCAAGAGGACATTATTAGGAAACTTACAAAAATCATGAAAAACAACCTTATTCAACCTAAATTAGGGTTCAAAGCAGATAGTATGAAAGATTTATTACGCATCATTAAGTGTAATCTCGGTAACCCAGTTCAAATTATTTAATCGATAAGCGACCTCAGTGGACAATATAAACAAACAACATAAATAACAAACTCAATCTAATTCATGAGAAAAGTGTCACATAAACATCAGGTGATTGGTAATAAGCTTTCTCTTATAACTAATAATATGACTGTAAAAATAAGCCTACAGAAAGCACAAAACTATACTCCCATTACCGAATAAAAGGCGTTAACATACATAACATATTACCCAATATTTGTTTGTTTACACTCACCCAAATGGACAATTCTAAACCAGTCACTTTATTATCTGTATCACGTAGAGTGCGTTAAAAGGCTCGACCTCATTAGTAAAAACCTCTTTACAAGTGAATTGCAAACAACAAAATAAACATAACCGATAAAAAGTCAGTGTTTTGTTGTCATAAAACATTTTATCTCGAACAATCACCTTTATTATTAGGTCGAGTGTTATCTGTCAACGGTAATCTGATGACACTTCCTGCTGACGAATTTACTCTTTGCAGTCATAAAATCCACAGACCACAGTTTCGAACAGATTAAGTTAAATTAAGCTAAATGCTGGAAGCTGTTTGCTATGCGTCGATTATATACTTCCCTGTCGTTTTCGCACTCCAAATATATATTTGAAATTTCATCATTGCAATTTTAATCTTATCGTTAATGTCATAATATACAATTGAGAGCAATTATACATTAACTACAGGAACACAAGCATTTTATAGTTTTTATGTGCTAAGCTAAAACCACTGATGACTTCAGCTAATTACCATTTAAACTGATTGATAAAGTCAAAGGGTTAATGATGTTGAAATGTCTTATTTTTTGTGCGATTACCGTGAAATACTAGTATAGTACAACACTTGAATGTACCAAAAATGACCCTTATTGCAATAATATTAAGGTTCTTTTATATTTAAGTACCTGTTTTATTGACATTCACCTATTTTTCGTAGCAACAGTGAGCTAATATAAACCGGTTTAAAAGGCTAATTGGGTCGTCCTGTTGAATTCGAAATAAATTGGATTTGAAGAGGGACAATGGCGTTCGACCGGCGAGTGTCCGTGACATCCCTGCGGACTATATTTAGAGTGTAAGATAATGCAATCACCCAACTACTAAGTGATTATCACAGTAGTCGCGTGTGCCTCGTCTACGTAGATACAACTAACTTCTGTTGCGAAATGGCAACATGGGATAGTTATTTTCGGATGCTTTTAGATGGTATCGTACTACGGGTAACCAACTAATTTTTAAAATCCATCCATTCACCTTACGTACTGTTATCATATTTTGACTTTTTGATAAAGCATAACAGTGATAACGCAATACGTCGTTTGTTATTCTGATAAGCTACCGTCTGCTACGAAAGTATTTTATAAAATCAAGGACCCGGTCGACCGTAACCTAGATATCAATTTATTCATTTTCATTTCAATATATTTTTCAAATTTTATAAAAAACTTTATAAATAACCGATAAATACGTTTAGATTACTCATCAATTAGGTTTTCACACAAAGCATGACTGCCTGCTCTGTGTATTTATGTTTACAAACACAAACCCGGAACTTTGACTCATATTTGTTTATACGTCAAGTGAAAACTGTAGTACGTTGCGTGCACGGGTAAGCAATTACGGGCATCGGTGTCGATTATTGTTCCATAAGGAATTATGGCTTATGGCTTATGCCTGAGCTGTTTTTTCACAGCTAAGGCTAATTACCCAAAGAAGGTAAGTTACTTAATGACAGAAGAAGGTTGTTGAAGATTCATAATTGTAAGAGTCACGTATCGAGTCCTTATGTTCTTATTTCTACGTAGTCTACTTACCAATATAAAGTCTTTTCTTGGTCTGCCAGCGAGCCACAGCGCCCGCAATAAAGGAATGATGTCCGCACGCCGCTTGAATGCGCGCTTCCTCCTTCACCTGACGCACTGCACTCTCGTTCACTATCTGAAATTATTTACGTTACAATTTTACATGCGACTGATTCAGTCAAATGAAATTATCGCAATAGGGGAAACCTGCCCGATAATGAATCGAGTAACAGAAATTATTAAACAATGTCGGGTAGTATCAACCAGTTTGACAATTAATACAGCTTTTAATATTGAGTCAAAATACACTAAGTGCAGTCAAGGGTCAATAACCTAGTATTCTAGAAGTGTGACCGTTTCAAAACAGGTTTTGAAGTAAACAAATAATGTTTCTGTAGTGGAGTTATCATCTGTATCAGACATACAATGTGAGGAGCACGCGGTGTAGTGATGGCCTATGCGTGTGTCACAGTCTCGCGATAGGGAAGACCGTTGCGTTCCGCACGACCGCCGGCGCAACGTGGATCCGCCACCTAATTACTACACCCTATATATTATCATAACGCTACCATCAATAACAAATACATTATAGCTCTCGCATGTTAAGTCAATATTGCTAATTCATCACAAATCAGTATAATAAACACTAGCGTTCCAAAGCAGAGGTAAATGTACTCTAATGTACTTTGATCGAACGACTGTAGAATTGGTTTAGTCAAACTAGTTATTCTTCCTCATAATATTATGAAATAGGTACATAGAGTTAGTCACTAGTTGATCTCAACTGGCGAAATGCCACAGGGTATGTAAAAAATGGTGAATATTACATCATTTGTTGAGACGACTTTCAGATGCAACGATCAGAAAGCTGTCACGCATTCACTATGGAAATAGTAGCTTCCGTCCGTTGAAAGTTGATTTAAAATCGACGTTGGCTTAATCATTAAAACCTAGTGCCTCAACAGCAACGAGTAATTTTTGTATGTATGTACTTACAATGTAAGTAAAGTAGGTACGGATCGCAGTACATAGGTATAGTCTGCCCTTCAAAACTTCGTGCTCTTAGCTCGTGGAACTAACAACACGTGTTTTTGGTGCGTTGCATTAAAGCCGAAATATCTATGATAAGACGCATTAAAGTATTCGACTGAAAGCTTATCGCTGCGTGAAACTCATTTAGTGGTAATAAGTTTACATATAGGTCAGCGTGATAAGGAGATTGACGATAAAAGCGCATGTTAGTACCTAAATAATGCATATCTTTTTCATTTTATCACAACTCTAAACAACAGGTGGATACGTCCACCTGTTGTAAGAAAAATTAAATTCAATTTCAACAATACGTTGTTGAAATTGAATTTAATTTTTCTTTTACCTCAGTCTTCCCTTAAACGAAATATTAGCATTTCTGATCTATAAAAAATCGTACAGTAGATATTAATCGCTTATTTAACGACTCAATAGCCTCGTTGAAGTCATTATACTCGTATAACATGACCTCATCACTTTAGTTACTTCTTCAAGAGTTTAATTATCTAAGCAAAAACTTTCCTACATAATCTGTGGTTACTGGTTAACGTGGCAACATCGTTTTGGAACACTTGAGAAAATTTAAATAGGTTCATATTTAGAAAAACACACAGATAATAATGCTTGAACGACTATGTTACAGTAGAGAGCGCACTTAGAATAGCACATTACATCATGTTACGTTTTTTTCCTCATTTCAATAAAAAAAACCTTTTTTTCTAGTGGTACTGGCAATTAAAACGAGTTGTATTGTAGGTCAGTTACTCTACTCCTTTGTACATACATTTGAACATTAAATATACTGATAACGTAATCGGACACCTTATCCAAGATTATAAATTATCATATGCCTGTTTTTTTTGCTGATAAATAATATACGTA